TCATCCTGGATACACACCATCACCCGTTAGCGACAACCACTCTCTCAATGACGAGACTCCGAAAGCGAAAAGGACCTTTTGCGGCTGCACCATCCTCGTCCTCACCTTGTCCATCATTATCGCCGCCTTGTCTGCTGCCGTCATTGGACTTGCCGTAGGGACAGGTGTCCAGACGAACCGTGCCAACGATGCGAAGGAGAAGTTGAACGCGCTCTCTGCAGAAGCGGCTGCCGCAGGGCCGGCAACGACGACTGTGACCGTGTCTGAGGCTGTGCCGACAGAGACGAGCTTCTCGGCCATTACTCATGGCTGCTCGGACGAAAAAGACGAGACATCAGGAACAGATTATACCACTCACTGTATGCCTCCTGTCCTCAAAGGGAACCTGGCGACAAATTTGCTAACGCTCGTGGGGCAGTCTCTAACAAGGTGACCTTCACCATGTTCTGCAACTCCAATGCGCCGCCTTATGCTCCCCTTTTGGCGCTTGCTGTGCCCGACTTTGACCGATGCATGGACGCTTGTGCTTCGTACACCAAATACATCAAGGGGACCTTCGAGTCCGATTCTGACAGTGTCAACGCGACGTGCACAGCAGTCAGCTTCATTCCCGGGTGGACGTCCAAGGAGGCGGCCGTTAACGCAAACGCCGAAGGCAACTGTTATCTCAAGTCGGGTCGGCAGAGGAGGTCGGCTCTCGAGCCAGTGAAGCCTGGACCAGGCGAAACGCATGCGGCTATTCTATCAGACTCTTGAGCCGCTTGAAAATGGTGATTCAATCTACAGGGCAGAGCGCACCGACACGCAGCTGCTTCAATAATTTCGTGGCCTGGTTGCCGGTACTGGGACAGCGAGATTCGCTGGGCACAGCTGGGGGGCCGGGCACCAGAGGTTTGGCGTACTGGCGCGGCTGGAATCCAGGGTCTCGTCTCTTTCACATTTGGTGTTCGTTACGACTTGTTCGGAGCGGTCTTCTCTTCTACATTTGATTTGCTGGGGGGTTCCGGCTTGGCGATCCCCGTATATATATATTTTTTTGGGGCCGGCAGCGCGGCCTTGGCGGACCTTGTTACCACATGGTTGATGTAAGACCTGGGAGGATAGTGTCAGCAGAAGAGTCCACCTAAAACATGTATACGTTCCGACTTCGGCTGTCTCGAGCGAATAGCCTCCGAATGAACAGCAAATGGCCGCCTTGAGACGCTCAGCATCGGTGCAAGGTACGAGTTCAGCGCAATTGAGCATCTCCGTCTACTGTCTGGCAAGGATGATGAAAGTCGTCGAGGCCAGGCACCTGCGTCCCGAGCAATGACGACGGATGGCGAGTGCACCTGTGAATGATCACACGTCGGCACCCGACTTATTTTTGCGGCAGTGGCTTCACAGGGCAAGTCACTCCTGTGCTTTTGCATGACAGAGAATGGAGATGGCTTTTCTCTCTCGCGACGACAAGAGTCTGGACCATGGGATCTGCGAGAAGGGTTTGCAATATTACCAGAGACAGCACGGCAAAGTCATGCTCTCTCCTCCGTAAGCATAATGAGGGGTGGTCACCCGCCTCTAGGACTTCAGTTGAGTGAGCAGACTGCCTATTGGGACGGGATTCTCTATACCGTACGCGCCGCTAGTCAGCGATACTGTCCCACACCGACCCTTCGGTCATAGGCGACACACCTGGAAACAGAGGAGCGGCAACAGGGAACAAGCAGAATGAATGATAGACCCATGGCCACACGGGCTGCAGAAGCGGCGGGCCAGGGTTCCCTCGCGCAAGTCAGCCCGCTAAAACCCAGCCACGCCATGCTGCTGGCGTTCTGGAAACGGTGCTGGGTCATCGGCTATCGCCCGCCTTCCGAGTAAACACGGGCTACCGCTGGTGGGGCCAGCGATGGTTATGAGCCTTAGCGACGGAACGTTGAACATCATTGTTGTAAGCCTCGAGGGCCATCTCGGCGCCAGAGCAAGACTCGATCGAGAGGCACGTTGACATGAATTTCGTTCAATTCAAGGAGAGACCCAGGCCCATGCGATTCTGTTTCGATGCACGACAACAGAGGAACCCTGAACACTCTTTATCCGCAGAGACTTGGCCACAACGTCCCCTCACGAATGATTGCCATTGACTGACAGAACCCTGACCCCGGGGACTCCGCACAGTTCGCTGACGCACCAGAGATGCACCGTCGCATGGGACGGCGGGAGAAGAGAGGGGCGCCTCTTTCGATTTCGACATGGCCCCATATTTTTTTTGACACGAAGGGCGCGCGCATGTCAATTGCGCTCCATGCGACTTGCAGGTCCGGCAGGCGACCAGACGCACTAGTCCTTTCGCTACAGCAGCTTTTGGCGGTCCTTGGTCTCTAAGGGAATGGCTCCGAACCACCGGGAAGCGGAGCGAACGCTGGCCGCTTTCTGGTCCATACCATCTCATCTCATCTGTCTGAGCAGAGCGAACGAGGGGTGTTGCTCGTTTGAATAAAGCAACTGCTTAGGACTGTGTGACTCTTTCCTCACATTTTCGAGTCCCGCACCTTCCCTTTTCTTCTCTCATCACCATCACCATCACCATCCTCCTGCTCCTGCTCCTGCTCCTCCTCCCTCGTCCCACGCATGCTTCACGCATCCTCATCGGTCATCGAGGTTGTCAGCATTGACATCTGACGACGCCCTTGGCCCAAACCACAACGACATCCCGACCCTGCATGGTCCCTGGCGCACCTCGTCCTTTGGTTTTAGTCACCCTCCGCGGAGGCGCGCCTTTCCTGTCAACCTAGGTAGACTTGACATCCGCCCTTCGAAGTACACGAGGATTACAAGGAGGAGAGTACAAATCGACATGGACGAATTCGTCGACTGGGACAAGGCTGGTGACAACGTCGGCATGCTGCTCGACCACACCGGCCCTTTGCCTCCTTCTCCCCCAGACCACATCCCCACCAACATCGCTGACCAAGACATTGATCTTATGTTGGCCAATGTCGACGATGATGACTTCAGCTTCTGGGCCCTCCAACACTTTTCCGAGGCGGGCCAGGAAGGCCAAGACGCACCTCTAGGGTCTACCTCCGCCGCCTCCGCCCTCCAGATGGACCTCTCCGCGGGTCCCGCCCCCGAGCCTTATCAGCTCCCTAACCCCTTGCCGGACTTCTTCTGGTACACGCCTGCCGTGCCATGCACGTCATGTTCCCGCAGCGGCCTCGAGTGCAAGAGGATCCGCGAGGGTGAGTACAAGGGCTTCTGCACCTCCTGCGTTGCTCTCTGGTGCCCTTGCAGCTTCGCACCGTCGGTGCCGGCGAACAACTGGTCCAACGATCTCTCCGAGGATCCCGTGGTCACCAATGACAAAGACATCCCTTCCTCTAAGAGTCTGCTGAAGGCATCACTGTCCTCCGCGTCTTTAGAGATGGCGCCTCCTCCGACTGTGCCCCCTGTTCAGGAGAACACGGTCCCCGCCGCTGCGGGTGCTGCTGTACCAAACAAGAACAGTCCTCCCCCTAAGATTGGTGCTCGTTTCTCGCGAGAATCCGTCAAGATTCTGAAGACGTGGCTTTCTGGTCACAACCGTCATCCGTACCCCAGCGACGAAGAGAAGGAGATGCTTCAGCGTCAGACCGGTCTCAACAAAACGCAAATCACAAACTGGCTCGCCAATGCCCGTCGCCGCGGCAAAATCCAACCGCCTAGGTCAACGTCCCCGGCCACGCACACCCTGTATGCCGGAGCTGTCGATATCCCCCGGCGGCCCGGCACACCGGCCTTCGACAAGGGCATCGCCAACAAGAACCCCCTCGAACGTTGGGTCGACTCTCCGCCTGATAACGAACCGGCCTCCGTAACAGCCATTGCCAGGGCTGTGGCGTCCAATTCGGACATGTCTTCGGGTTTGAACAGCCCTCACAGCTTTGCCTTCACGGACGACGGCTCGGGTCGCTCGCTGGTCGACTATTCCTCGACGAGCAGTGTTGGCACATCCAGCGGCGGGTCTTTTGCCTCTGCTTATTCGCATGCCTCCCGAGGCTCCTTCGGCTCCTTCAGCTCCATGCAGATCCGCGGTCGTCGACGCCGCAGGAGGCGCGCCGCCCCTCAGCGTGGTCCAGACGACAAGACCAACCTGGCAGCGCAGTTCAAGACTTTCCAGTGTACATTCTGTACCGAGACGTTCCGGACAAAGCACGACTGGCAAAGGCATGAAAAGTCGCTGCACCTGTCTCTCGAGCGATGGGTATGCGCACCCAAGGGACCACGCGCCCTCAATCCGGCAACCAACCAGGTCAGCTGCGTCTACTGTGGCGAGGTCGACCCGGATAATGAGCACATTGAGAGCCACAACCACACGACGTGCCAGGAGCGCTCACTTGAAGAGCGCACCTTTTACCGGAAGGACCACCTCAACCAACACCTGAGACTCGTACACAACGTCAAGTTCATGGACTGGTGCATGAAGACGTGGAAGGTGGCTACGCCGGAGATCAGGTCACGGTGCGGTTTCTGTGGCATCATAATGGATAACTGGTCCATTCGTGTAGACCATCTCGCCGAGCACTTCAAAATGGGCAACACCATGGCTGACTGGAAGGGTGATTGGGGTTTCGAGGCACCCGTCCTCGACATGGTCGAGAACTCGATCCCGCCTTGTATGAGACCCCTTCGATATCCCGTAGACCAGCTTGCAGCGTCTAACTTTTGAAACTTTTTTTTCTTGTGCAACAGATCTTATTGACCATGAACGGAACACGCCATTTCCCTACGTAGCGGGCGGCTCGCCGCCCGAGTCACCAAGGAGTGCCTACGAACTAATCAAGATGGAGCTCGCTTTCTTCATGATGAATCACGAGGACAAGACGGGGGCCCTGCCCAACGACGACGAGATGTTGCTCGAAGCATGCAGAATCATTTTCGCCAGCGAAGTGTTGTCGCTACAGGGCATCGACTCGAACTTCTCCTGGCTCAGGGACCTCTTCATGTCGTCCCCAGAGGTTGCACGCCAGGCGCAGTTCGGACCCCTCCGTTCGGCAATTGAGAACAGGCTCTCAATCCTAAAGATTAACGGCAAGGACAACTTGTTCGAGGCCTGTCCTCTTGAGAAGCAGCTCAGGGACTTTGTCTCGAGCAGGACGTTACTCGGATTAACCCCCATCGACGACGAGCTACAGGTCGAGGCGTGTTGCATCGTCGGACGCATCGAGGAGGCATCAACGACACCGTCAGATTTCATCGCCAACTGGCTTGTTCGGTTCATCAACTCATCGACTGGTTGGCTCGCCAACTTCCGGCAGCGAGCCCACCTACCGCGGACGGAGGACATCAAGAATGCCTACTTCCGATCCACGGACACGACCAAGATCGATTCCACAATCCACATCTACAGCCGCTTAGAGACGTCTCTTAGCGAGTACATGGAGGACCAGCGGGTGTTGGGCATCGAGCCGACCGATGAAGACCTGCAGCGCCGGGCTCGCATCATCATATACGAGTTCGACGACGGCTGGAACCAGACGGCCGCTGACAGCCTCGTCTGGCTCAATGCTTTCCGCGAGCGCCATCCGCCTGGAGGCAGTTTCTCTCAGACGCAGGATTCTCTGATGCCGAATGCCAGCGAGCCCGCACAGACTGTGCTCGGCCTACAGCAGCCGCTTGCGTCCTCGCCGCCGCGATCGAAGCACATGGGCGGAGCGACTTGCATGAACGACTCGAATCGATTCCGAAGGCTGGCGCGTGAGCTGAGGCGATTCGTCACACAAACAACGTCGCCGAACAATCCGAACCAGCACGTGCCCTCAGACCAGGAGCTACAGCACCAGGCGCGGTGGATCATGTACGATGAGTGAGTAACACGCCTTCCGCATACCCGGATTTTGACAGTTCGACAAGTGTACTGACCTATTTCCAGCGACGATCCGTGGAACCAGACGCCCGCGGACAACGCCGAGTGGCTTCAGCGCTTCAAGCGTGATGCCGGCCTACTGGCGGCAGCCTCGCCCCTTGACCCGAGCCAAAACGTGGTCCCTAGCCGCACAATGGCCGAGGCCGCGGCATCGAGCTGCCCCTTCAACCCTAAGATTAATTTCTCGACACCCTTCAGCACGAGCACGACGCTCGCAGGGACCAGCCCGTCATCGACAGGCGAGGGCACTCGCGACCAAGCTGTGGCGGACGCCTTCTTCGCGACCTTTGACACGCGTCACGCGCGGCCTGGTACCATTTTCTGCGCGCGCGAACTAGAGGACTCTCTGGTTGGGTTCGTTCACTCAGAAGCGGCGGCCGGGCGAGAGTTTCCAAGTGACGAGGTTCTCAGGGCCAAGGCGCGAGAGGTCATGGGAGCCGTGAGGACGGCGGCAGACGACGAGACGCTGCTGGGCAAGTTCAAGGCTTGGGTCGTCGCTGAGATTGCGGGGGAGGGTGAGCAGCAGAGGCAAGCTTTCACGGACCGCGAGATCGAGGGCATGCTTGCCGAGATGGAGATGGAGTACGGTGGGGAGATCGGAGGGGGAGCTTCTCTGGTGTGAGGTGATATTGCGTGGTGTTAGGAGTGTTCTCAGGAGAAGTCGCTTTGGAGTTTGGGTTTTTCCATTTCACTCGATCCTAAAACATGGGTTGTTCATATGATATCCGACGAGCTTAAGACTGACAATACCACATTATTTGAGTTTAGTTAAAGTTTGCGTTTGTGCTATCATCGGACTCGGTTTTGCGAAAAAGAGTCGGCACTTGGCGTGGCGTAGCATTGGTCTCTGCATACCGTTCGCGTCTTCCAGACGGGATGAACGACGACGACCGGAGGAAAAGCTAGCCGCTCAACTTGTGACGAGAGTAGCCCTCAGCTGGCGAGAAAGGACTTTGGAGTGGCTGCAGTAAGGAGGAGTCGCAACGCGATGAAGAGCGATGGGCTTCGAATGAATGTTAAGAAGATACCTAAAAGCCAAAGAAAATACCGCCTGCGAGAAGGTCACTCGTTATCCGTTATGTTAAGGCGACATGCTGTGCCACACTCCCGACGCCCCACCCTAAGCTGACAGCACTAGGCACCGGGCGCCGGATCCTCCAACTCGCTGTGGCCCGGGGTGAAGGGCGACGGCCTTTAAATAAGGCGCGGCCTCTTTTCTGATGCCCCAACTCTCAACATGCTTGGCTGTTATACTCGCATGCAAGCATGACCCACGATTCCGAATCACACCTCTAACCCTGCTGCCAAAAAAAAAAAAAGTGCAGCGAAGAACACGGCAGCATTTCCGGGTACCTAAACGGGCCATGGGGTCGACGAGTGTGGATACCGTAGCTCAGAGCAGCAACGCGACGTACAACCGCCCCAAGACGCGGCAGAGGGTGCACAAAGCGCCGCCTGTACTCGACGTGCCCGATATTGACGAGGATGCGGCCGAGAGAAAGAGGGTGCTCAATGTGCTGGCACAGCGGCGATACCGTGAGTTTGCGATGCCGACCCGGCCATGCATGTTTGGGGAGAGGCCTATCCCAAGGGTGACTGACTTGTGACTTACACGAAATTTCAGGCGAACGAAAACGAGAAGCTCGGACCAAAAGCAAGGATACGAAGCAGCAAGATGACCTTTCGGTTGTTGTTGGTATCCGACCACCAGCCTCTTCATCCCATCCAGATGGATCAGTGTCCCCATCGGATGCGCCTCGGACAAGCGTTTCACCCAACGACCTTATGCTGACGTCTGACCTGGATCTTGGCCTG